TTTGAATACTTTGTGGTGAAATAGACCTAAAAGCAGCAAATAGTCTTCTGTATTTTCAGTGACTCGAATAAATTTAATCTTTTAGACCACCCCGCAGAAAAAAATCTAAAGGGTTGAGGCATGGATACCGTGGAGGCCAAGCTACACTCGGTTATTATCACGTCATATTTGAGAGTCAGAGTCGATATTAGCGTAGATTATCAAATCATCAACGTACAACAAAAAGAGGACGTTAAAATTATTCGCGGTGTCATTGATGAAAAGAATAAAAATATAGGGGACCAAGTGTAGAACCCTGAGGCACTCCTGATGTTAGGTTGGGTATATCAGATTTATAACGGTACTGTACAAATTGTACGCGGTGAGAAACATATGATTTCAATATATGCAGAAGATTTACTGTCAAGTTTTTGTAAAAGTATATCTCATTTAATTTGTCAAATATTTTGGAGATTTCTCTGATCCATCTGACTTCTTTGATCCAAAGTTTCAGCGATAAATTGGGTAACACCATATTGGATACAGTAAAACTAAGATTTTATGTAAAAAGAAATATATTTGCGAATAAAAATTCCAAACAGTTTAGAAAAATTACAATCATTTTTGTTCCTCCTTTAGGAAAGGTGTTTAACACGAGAATTTGATTAAAGATTATGAATAATGGTTTGGAATATAAAATAGCACAGTATCTTATAATGATGGGCAGTATATTGTCTGAATAATATTGTCTTCAGTATCTCAGGAATAGGTGGAATAATTTATGTTATGTATCAAATTTAAAATTAGTAAATTCAATAAAGAAGTTTGAAAAATATTTAAGGTCTCAGATCTGTTCAGAAAATAACCGAACTTAATTTTTTTAAACTTTATTATTAATTTTATACTTTATACTTGTAATTAACCCAGCTTTTGTTTCCCGTTATGATTATTTGAATGAATGTTTCATCGTCATTGTTATATGAGTTACCGACAAACGTTCACATGATTTCTGAATTTCCTCCATAATTTTTGACACGTCATCTAAACAATAATAAATAATTTATATAGTAAAGTCATCTACTGTTGATGATACGAAAGAAAGATTTGTCCAAGGGTAATAATATGTCATTACTTTTTAGTGACAGTGTAAATTATTTTTGTAGAACCCACGCTCGGGTCACTGAACGGCTACGACCCTGTACATACAGTTGCACTTGGCGAAAATCTCATTAGACTAAATGGGATAGACATCGTCCTTGCCACGAGTCTCGAAAACAAGACAAGGTGCGGGTGTTGCACTATTACAATACATCACCATTTCTTTCGGTCAATATTTTCTATTTTAAAAGATGTTGGAATATATTAAAAGTGCAGTAAACAACGTATTTACTCTGCTAACAGCTAAACCACTGTTTACATTGTCTAGAACTTAATTTACTATTCTGTAAACAAAGCTACTCCATATCCAAACTCGTCTGACTTCCTGCTTAAATTTATGTTTTATTTAGGCAAAACTAGAATTATAATTTATAAATAAATACATGTCTAGCCCCAAGGATGAATTAATGATAACGAAATTTGCCGTTGCGCTTGCTATTCATTCGACGTCTAAAACAGTTGAAGGTGAAGGTGATTTCGAGTATTTCGCTTAGTTTTAATTTTCGTAGTGCGAGTATAGCTTCAGTTAATAGTGAGTGAAATTGTTTTTAGATATTGCGCAGAATAATAATTTGCCACCCCTTCTCACATGTAAATCATCTGAATTGTGTAATTAGAATTGTGTCAATGGTAACCATATCCTTGTTGTTGTTGCGTACGTAGTGACAGTTGCACAGGGTTTTATTTATTTTTTAAACATACTGTTACCTCGCAAACTTTTTCTTAGTTTTACTTAAGGAATGTAAAAGTCCGTGCACAGTACATAATTTGCTTGAAGTTTGAAAGCTTACTTCAAGGAAAAACTGTTCAGGGCGACTTCTGGATCACGGCCAGTAAACTATAAAATTTAATCCTTCTCTAAACCGCAGTTACTCTTTCGCTTGTGAAGTCTACTTAGAACTTACGTTTAAATATTTCCTTATTAAAAACAAACGGTTAGTTAACCACTTCCAGGCCGCTTTGATCAAATTTCCTTTGTCGGATAGGCTTCATTAGAACACAGCATCGCTGGTACCTTGAAGTTTTATATCAGAAAATTCTCTGTATCCTAATAATAGCTTTGGCAAGCCTTTTACGCTAAATACTCAGAGTATGTCATTTAGTCCAAGCATTATAGAGAAATGCTTACAGAAATTATTACCTGGACAAAAAAAATATGATCGTATAGAAAATTAAATTTTAAATTGAGTTTCTTGTTCTTTAAACTCGATCCAATATGGCGAACACGGTTAAAAAAAATCGCAAAGTTGAAAAAAACGGTTTTTCTAAAATAACTAAAAAAATATAGCACGGATTGAAAAATTTTAAATGAGAAAGTTGTAGGTTTTAAAAAGATCTATCGACTGATTTTTTGAAAGTATCGATTGCTTTGTTACTTTTCGAGATATATCGAAAAAACCGTTAAAAATCTTCTCTTTTCTCTTCTTCTATAACTCGTTTACATTTACGTGCCCATATTTGCTATTTACTGCAAGCATAGCCCGCGGCAAGCCAAAAAAGTACATTTTTGAAAAATTTAAAAATATTAATTATTTTTCGAGATATATCGATTTTTTGAAAAAAAGGCGCTCTCGAAAATTGGCTAGATCTTCTCAGCGGATAGCCCTACAGTAACGATTTTCGGTTTATTTTCTTCGTAAAGAGTTATATTATCATGCTGTTAAAAAATGTTGACGATTTTATTAATTTTAAGGATCAAAAAATGACTGAAAAAGTTGCACTTTTTTTGGGTATGTTTTTTTCAAATAACTATTTCAATTTTTATTATTTTTTTGTACTTAATCTGGGGTAGCTAAACACGAATATTATAGCATTTTCGCCTTAGAAGCAAAATAGACCCGTAAATGTTTAGTTTTCTTTCTTTAAAAGTCATTTTCATAAAATAAAAATTGAAATAGTAATTTGAAAAAAACATACCCAAAAAAGTGCAACTTATTCAAAGTCATTTTTTGATCCTTAAAATTAATAAAATCGTCAACATTTTTTAACAGCATGATAATATAACTCTTTACGAAGAAAATAAACCGAAAATCGTTACTGTAGGGCTATCCGCTGAGAAGATCTAGCCAATTTTCGAGAGCGCCTTTTTTTCAAAAAATCGATATATCTCGAAAAATAATTAATATTTTTAAATTTTTCAAAAATGTACTTTTTTGGCTTGCCGCGGGCTATGCTTGCAGTAAATAGCAAATATGGGCACGTAAATGTAAACGAGTTATAGAAGAAGAGAAAAGAGAAGATTTTTAACGGTTTTTTCGATATATTTCGAAAAGTAACAAAGCAATCGATACTTTCAAAAAATCAGTCGATAGATCTTTTTAAAACCTACAACTTTCTCATTTAAAATTTTTCAATAAGTGCTATATTTTTTTAGTTATTTTAGAAAAACCGTTTTTTGCAACTTTGCGATTTTTTTTAACCATGTTCGCCATTTTGGATCGAGTTTAAAGAATAAGAAATTCAATTTAAAATTTAATTTTCTATACGGTCATATTTTTTTTGTCCAGGTAATAATTTCTGCAAATTTAACAATAATCCGTGACAGAATGCTTGGACTAATTGTGTTAACTCAGATCGTTCACCGTAGAGGTCTGTTTTTCCTGTTGAAAATTATTATACCAGAAGTTGCTGGTTTTATGTTTCTATATAGATTAGATAAAGTAGGGGTTCTAAGTAAGTCCGCACTGGATTGTATTTCAAGAATTTTTTTCTATTTAGCTAGGTACTGAGAGGACGTTTTGAATTGAAGACATTGCAGCAAAAACGAGGTAGATGCAATTTTTCAGGAGGGACAAAAACGTGTTATAAATTCAAATAGATTTTTTTTTTTGGTTTTTACTGTAAAAGTGGTTAACATGTTAACTGCAGTAGCCGCATTAGCTTTTCTAAAATTTCAGATGGAATTTCCACATTTTCAATTTTTTCAGTCTTGGTTACAGACACAATTTAGGTTGACACTCGCTTCCTTTGTAACATTGAAAAATACATTCATTTCGTTAAATTATTTTTTCTGACATTGAGAACTTGAAATTTTAAGTTACTTTTATTTATTATTAAAACGAAATTCTATGAGTGTTGGATAAAATTTTGTATGGCACTCGTGTGTTACATCATATGTCACTTCCCAGCGTGACATATATACCGTAACACACTAGGACCATAAATAACTATAATTTTTTATTCATGTAATAGAGTAACAGATTCTTGCCCTTCGTTTGAAGAAAGAAATCATTCTGCTCCACGTTTTGACATTCAAGTCATCTTTATTATGTCATTATGTTCAAAATGATTATTTTCGAAATTGTCAAAGTATTAAGGACTTAAAATTGAACCTGGATTTTCCTAAACGTTGTTGATACTGTTAAGATAACACTGAAAGGTGTTTGTTGTTTTTTTTACGAAATTTACTTGGAACAATGAAAAGGTACGTAAGGATTTTAATCGCCTGCATTTAGATATAAAATACAAATACAAAATACTTCCATGTAATACCTATCAGTGCCATGCGATGACTTAATTTAAATTAATGGGATTTTAACAACCTGTTATTGAAGGAATAAATTTATCAGTGACATATTAATCAATTGGGAAAAGGAATGTTTGACGGACATATTTCCTGGTTATGTGAATTTAGGGATTCGTGGACAAAAGCAATTAAAAACAATATACAAGGTATGTAACGTATTGTGTGTAAATTGAAGTATGAAAATATTGTCTCAAAGTATTCTCATTGACAAAGCAATACACATATTGAAAGCTGATTACAAAAATGCGTTAACAGAGTTTTATTACGTAATTCATTGATTCAAAGGTTGAAAAAAGTGCGAACAAAAAAACGTGATGAAATACTGGAAAACACTGACCTGGAATTTTGACGTCAACCTGGAATTATCAGGAACCGTCAGGGAAATGTCAGGGAGTTCCTCAAATTTTCATGGACATTTTTCAAATCCCAATTGTAATTGGTCCTTATTTACCGCCACTAGATGTCACTCGCTGAAAAATAAGTTCACTACTACCTACGACTAATGAGGTCATTCAGTAATTTTATAAAAAACCTTCTTATTTTGTATACATAAAGTATTGCTTATGATTAGGCAATCCGGAAAATTTCAACTCAATCCGTTGAGCGGTTTTTAAACGATATGATTTTTAAAACGCGAATGCATTGCATGCAATGACGTCACCGCATGGGACGGTCAGCCGGCTTAGCGCTACTTCAAGATGAGTCTCTGCATCTACAGAATGTTTTAGCGTTTGTGCATATTAAATTTATAAAAATGGAAGCAAATTACGTAAAAGCAAATTTGCAAAAAGTAAGTTTGTTAAAGGTTATGAATTTTTTAAATAAAAACCACGACCAGTGCTGAGATGGGAGGAGCGAAAATGCAAAGGTTATGTTTCAATAACGTGTAAAACTTCTTTAAAGTACGTTTGTAGCGAAAGTTTTGATGTCTTTGTTTAAGATCCTTTACACGTGCCTGCTTTGTGTCAATAGAGTTATGAAACACTCTGTATATGCGAATCTTCTCGTATTGTATAATACTTGCAAATATGACTGTGTTTGAATTCAATTTACCTCGTCATTTCTTTAACATTACCATTTTGTTTACTCGTTTATACAAACGCCCTCCAATTTACAAGGATACATTTACTCAAAGAGCAATTAATAACGCGCCGCTTGTTTTCTCCGACATGGAAAAAATCACCTCATTTTAACGCGTCCTAGACGTATTTTAATCAAATTCCATTGACCTTACCCAACGTGATCTAATCTATGCCCCGTCAAATCAGTTCTCGATCGCGTGGACAATTCGCATTTAATAAAAGCAATTGTCTCCATATTCGGGCGCCATGGCAACGCATTTAAAACAGTCGCAGCCGTCTAGATTCAAGTGCAATCGAAACGAACGAAATGTGCTGTGGTCGCTTAAAAATAGACAATCCGGCTTTATAGGCCTTTATAAATGAAATACGTGTGGTTCGAGTACGTTCCTAAAGGCCCATGAAGTTGCTAGGTGAAGAGGTTTCTTTATCATTGAGTGAAACTCTGGTGTTGAACGAATAAGTGAGTAAGGTATTTTTATCTTTTGTTCTAGAAGGTATAAACGCAACGTTAAACTATATTTAAATGAATTCTCGGTAGCTAGAGCGACAAAACTTACAAATTTTATCCAGCCTTGACATATTTTTATATTATTCTTGATATATGAAGTGGTCTGTATCGGAGTATCGCTGTTTTCGATTTATCGTTTCAAGATTTTCAGATATTCTTAAAGTCGGTAATGTGGAACCTATTCATAAAAAAATGTAAAAAATTTCAGGTCAGTAACTATATCTACATATTTTTTCAAATATGCTGAAATTTAGGTTTTTAGAAAGGTTTTAAGTTTTCTAAATGTGCTTAAAATATCTTCAGTTAACGCCAGAACTACCGTGACTTGCAGCTTTCAGAGAATAGGTACATTTTTTAACTAAGATAAGTTTTTATTTAATTTACATTGAAATTAAGTTTCCCAAAAGTTGACCTTCTTCTATGTTAAGTACTTTTTACAGGGTGTCCACCAGTGGCGGCTCGTGACATTGAGAATAGGTATTCATTGATTCACTTTTTCAAATTTTCAAGGTCAAACGGCTTTAAATGAATCTGGAAATTTACGAAAAACTGAGGTTCCCGAGAAGGATTTTCTTTTAGATTTTATAAAAAATATAGATATTAGTTCGGCTGGTGGATTTAATGATAGGTACAGATAATTCCCCCTTTTTTCCACATCTAGAGAATAGATGCACAGGTCTAGCAATTTAAAAAATTCTCTTTTTCTCAATTTTCCATCTGGAAAATGACGTTTCCAATTGGATCATACATAGGAAACATTTCTATACTTTTTTATACAAAACTAATATTAACAAAAAACCTTTATAATTGTGCACTGATCGATGGCGAAGTATCGTACTTGTTTAAAGACAGGCGATAGGCGATGGCGATGCTGCTTCAATTTCACGTCACTCGTTCCCCCACGCCGTAGCTTACTCACGTGTTGGCCGCCTTGCTGCTATGACAACCGCCGTAAACAACGCTATCAAGTGAAGCGGAATACAAACTGATTTCGATCCGCGTCACTTACTCATGCTACACGTTGTATACGTTGTTACGCTGTACGAGGTTAATGTTCACGCTCAACGAAGGCAATGTTTTTTTAAAAGGCTTTCACTGCGCAACTATTCTGTTTATTTCTGCTTATTAAACAAACAAACAGAATACATTATCAATATAGAATTATGCCTAAATTATAGAATTTATATAAAATTTAAAATAATTTTAAATTGCCCTACCAAATTTTAGGTGAAGCGGTGCGTCACTTGCGTTACCTGGCGACCCGCCACTGGTGTCCACTTGTTCATAAGTCTAGTCCAATTGACTGTGCAACATTGATAATGGAGGAAAACTTGTTGATTTTTTTAATTATGCCAAAGCATCATTAGGTTGACAAAAATTTCGCAAAATACGGTAACAAACATAATATGGGCATTAAAAAACTGTTTTATTTATGAAGATTACGTTGTTAGTTTCTCACAAAATATGCATTGAAAGTTTTGTTTTAAGATAAAATAGCTTTCCGGTTGCTTGTAATATGTACCCTCCAATGGATTTATATCCAAAAAATTTGAGATTTCATCTGGTGTACCCCAAGGTTGTGTATTGAAGCCGCTATTGTTTAATGTTTTTATTTATGGTGCTCAAAAATCTCATCAGTTTCAAATTAGGAAAACAAACTTTCCCTAGATATAAATACATATATATGTACAGTGATGTATGTTTTATCCTGGGAAAAGAAAAGTGTTGAGATTTCCATATAATATTTTTTAACATACATACTTCTGAAAAGACCTGAATAACAAATTAATTTTCACGCGTATAATAAGAATATAATTTTAGATACTAACAAAAACTTAGGATTTGTTGTATTTCATAATTGATACACAGTAATGGTGATTTGCAATTATATTTTTAGATCTAAGTTAGAATATACAGGGTGTTTGTAAATAATTGCGAAATATTTTAGGGGAAGTTATTTTGTGAAAAAAAGTTCATATAAACAGATCGAAATATACTTCGTTTCTGAGATACAAAGTGTTTAAATTTCATTTTGTTTTATTTTTATTAATTATTTAAGTTTTAAAGATATTGACTCGAAAATTAAAAATTTATCAAATTATTTAGAAATATTGACAGCAACCTACTAGATATGTATCAATAGAAATTAAAAATACACAACTTACAATAAAATGTTTTATTTTTTCCTCAAAAACGGTGCATCCTACGAAAAAAATTGAAGAGCCCAATTTCATTCGGAATTAATGGCGGATTTCTAAAAACAATATCAAAAAAAAAAGGAAAAAAGTCAGTGGTGTACCATTTTTTTTATTAAAAAAGGTTATGGCATTCTCGCACGAACGTCACTGGTGCAAGTAGAAATATTCGGATCACCTCAAAAAAAGCACATTTATCCCTCCAAAGCATTTTTCAAATTTCGAGTCAAACTCTTAATATTAATAAAAAGAAATAAAAAATTTAAATTTAAACACTCTGTATCTCGGAAACGAAGCATATTTCGACCTACTTTTATAAAATAACTTCGTCAACCCACCTCCCCCCCCCCCACAAAAAAAATACATTNAGTTCAGGTCTGGCACCCTTGTTCCTACAAAAATTCCTTTATTCTCATAAACTATTTATTTTAAATGTAATTTATTATAAATCCAATTTGTTTCCTAAATTCCACATATGTACTACATTTTACCTCTGTACGCGCCACTGTTGTTTACTTGTTTTTTGGAAGCGCTCTCTAATTGACGGCAAAGCTCGCCAGGTTAGTATTTGACGTATAACCGACCAGTTCGTACACTCGATGCACCTGGGCGACTACAGCTACTACCAGAACACAGTGCGTATGCAGCGGTATTTCAGATTTTACATTGAATTTCATTTTAAATTTGAAATGATTTATCTTACGCCTCCTAAAAATGATGACACGATTTTCCTTTGATAAAAGACCGACAACTTTTTGCTCTACTTTGCATCGAATACGATCCTACTATAGCATTTAAAGAAGGACGGATCTGTCCTTCATTCACCACATTTTCTGTTATTACAGTTTCAATTTAATTCACTTGCTTTTCAACGTAATTTGGAATTTCGTGAAAAAATATTCGTTGATAGCTTTCACCGATGAAAAACATTCAAATTGACAGTTAGATGTCTCCAAATGTGGAACGACAACTGACGCCCTTAGTTTCGTCACCGTTGACCCGCACTTTCTCCCTTCACATGCACTGTAGATTGCCTACAATTCACGTATTTATAATACATGAATATTACAGTGGCGGCGTATACAAGTATTAAAATAGCTATTAGTAATAAATAATATAATGCATTATTCTCCTCTGTGTAAAATGTGTAGAAGTTATAACTAAGTTAAAGACGACAATTATATATTTACTTGCTTGTAATATCTCACAAATTGAAAAAAAATAAATACATATTTTATTTATATCTTTTTTTCTGTTATCTTTGTTTGGGAGTTTTTGTTTTATTGTTGTTGTTTTTTTATTGTGTATCATACTATGTCTTTGTGTGGCGTTGCACTTATTAAGTGAAATAATTACATGTTTCACTATCTTGTAATTGGTATTGATTCCTGTTGGGCAGGTCGATGATTGAATACAAAACTAGAAGGTATGAATGAAGAAGAAACATATATTATGTAAACCGAAAGACTAGAGTACCACTGAACATTTCCAAATGCCCTTTGAAGAGAAGAGGGATATTTACACTCAAAATGTTTTTACTAAAAGAAATTCCATGATATTGATTTACAAGTGTGTCAACAGTCACTCAGTTGATTCTAGAACCAGTTTTATCAAAAATTGGCTAATGTACCAAGTCTATTTAAAGAAATGAAATGTGTTAACACATCTAAATGTTATTCCAGATAATGTATTCATGATTTTCCTAGACTTACTTATATGTGTACACTGTACACATAATTTACAACTACGAATTTAACAAACCACCTGTTAGCGACTAGAGATATTTTTTTCAGCGTAACTTGGCAGCCGCCAAAACTTAACCTAAATCCAGATGCGCTAGTTTCTTCACATCCGACAAATATAGAATGGAGTCAGGTCGTGAATGCTAGGTGGCGGTAGCGTGAAGTCCTCCCAGATTATTTTGACTTTAACAGCGGTGGGTGTTAAAGAAATGGAAAACGTTTAGTCACCAAATCCTTGCGTTTTTTTACACCAATTACCTCTGTTTTACAACCTCTTAACGGCTTCGATATAAACCGAATTTTATCGCACGGAAATATGCAATGCCAAAAAACGTGCGAGGAGTAAAACTTTTAATTGTGATGTTTATTCCAGTTAACAATTGAGGGTATGGCTTGAAATACATTTCAATTATGACACATGGCCGTTGAGTGGAAAACAATGCTCATTTAAATTGTTCACACGGTCTTTTGTCGTTTCCACATGGTCGGGGCATGCCTAGGTTGAAATTAAGAAATCGGTCTAATGGTTAATGTAAATGACTTTGCTGTTTTTTTCGCGGCAATTGATAAGATGTGGCAATTTAACATCAAGTCGCTTGTTAAATGGCAAGATAGGTTCCGTTTTTATGTAATTTTGTCAGATGATTAAAGTAGGCCGTGTTTGTGTAATTCCTTCATTAGTTTAGTTTGAAGCAAAACGCTTTACTGGTATGGTCTTTCCGAAGTCAGTTGAACATGTAAAAAACGCCTGGCAATAAAATTTAATGACTCATAGGCGTCTCTAAAAACGTTTTCTGCTAAAGGTACAAAATTATAATAATTTGTATAAAGGGTGATTCACAACTTATCCAAAAAAATTTGGGAATAGATGCGGCATGAGAAATGGAGTTAATATCGTATAAAATTTTTTTGTAAAATCCTTATAGTTTCCGAGAAAAAAATTATTGAAGTTATAGTACATTCAGCCACTACATAGCTGGACAACTGTAGTCTCTAGCGTCATTCGCAATACGCGTGGAGAGCCACGTGGCTTCAGCGACTCCGAATACTAAAATCGGATTTTGCAATCGTCGTTGCGATAGTATTTACCTGTTATCTGTGGTATTTACAATAGTTTTTTAGTAGTTAGTGTTAAAAATGGGTAGATAGTGTCAAAAATGGTTTGCGTGTATAGCAATTCGGAGTTGATGGATATCGTTTTAATTTATGGTGCAGCATTTGTGTTATGGTGAGGCAAGACAACATTTGTGTTAGTTCGTAGAAACTGAGTACAACGGACCTAAATGTGTTTACACATTGGTGGATAAAATGTTGAACAATTGTTGTAACATCGTATGTAAAATGATTTTATTATTTAAAAACACAAATTAATTTTATTAATTAATAAAAGCAAAAGCAGTTGAATTTGCCGATATAAAATAGGTGCGATAAAATTCTATTTACATATTTCTTTCCTTGCGAAAGTTTTTGTCCGTTTTTATCACACCGCCATGCAGGTCGCATTGTGCGAGGTCAGGTTTTACAGTGGACCAGTTTCCAGTGCTGTGCAGAAGTATATTTTTAAATCATTTTTGAACTGCCCTTTTCGATTTTTTCTTTACAAAACTGTATTTATAAGGGTCTCCTGTACATCCAGAATTTTTTTTTTTTTTGATAAGTTCTGAATCACCCTGTATAATGTAAAAAATTTCGTTTTGTTCCGTTTCAAAAGGTCTCCAAAATGCCATGTTGTAATAATATTATGTCTCCTTTTCGCAATTGTAATATCAATGATTAATAGAAGGTGCCTATAATAAATTAAAATTACCGGAATCACACCAAATTCCGCATTCTGCACTGCACTGCTAGAAAATTCGTTGACAACTGAAATATATGTCCGGTCGCCCAGTCCGGTTGTGTTTGTTCGCCGTTTGCCCACGCGCGCATTGTTCAACTGGGCGACCAGACCTGTATATGGGTATGACTAAATAAATATGGGAACAAGTCTTTCAAATATTTCAATGCCGAGTTTCTGCGTCAGCGATCGAACCTGGTTCTGCCAACCTTTTAGTTCTTCAATTGAGATCGGAAAGACTATACTAACGTAGGAAATACGGAATGACAAGTTGGCATAAAAAATCATCCTGTAAAAAGACTTGACAAAAATTGTAGACTTTCCGTTAGATATGCTCCTGGAAAATGTACCAATCAATAATTATTGGTATTAATTAAGCACTCCCAACAGAAATAGCTGCGTCAGCGACCGAACATATCAACCTCTTGATTCTTCAATTGATATCGGAAAGACTATACTTTATTCAAATTTTTAATTTATTTTAATGAAAGATTAAATAGAAAACTTATAAATAT